GTAACTTGAATTCCAAATAATCCAAATACTTTGTAACTGCATTTCAAACAAACACGCACTTTGTACTCCATTCCCTAAACAAAATAAATGTTTTAAGGACGTAAATCATCTGGTCAACCTGAATCCCAAAATCATGATTGTCCTAAATGACAGTCTTAACCTCCATCTCTTGTCCCAAACAAATCATGCTCTGAGAACAAACATTATCCTTTCAGTAAATTGTGTTTAAGAAAAATTCAAAATCAATCAAATGCCTTGCGATGATTTGATAATTTTAAAGTCTTCCAAACTAAAATTTCTTCCGATTCTTTGAAGATAAACCCGTGAGCGACATCACATGTGACCATGAACAGACATAATCGTCTCAAAGTCTTGTAACTTGAAGAAAACATAACTACAACTTTGAGGAAGCATGAAGACCTATGAAGGCCAATTGGATCAACTCATTTTCTTTTGAGAATTGCAAAAAACCCTAATTGCTGGTTTATTTCCCCAGAAGAGAATCTGTCTGGTCGATTTCTGAGCCAACTTGAATATCCAAGAAACCATAGGGTTGTATCTTGTATGAAAAATGGGAGGGAAAATTTTGGGGTACAACACACACGCCTGGGATCGAACCCAGGACGTGTGCATCAAAGGCTAACATCCTCACCATATGCGCTAACATGTTAATTGTGATAATAACGAAATAAATGGAATATAATGCAAACAACGTGCCACGTCTCCAAAACGCGCCGAAATTCAAACGAGCCATTCACTCCCTGCCACGCCATCATCTTCTTCATTGATTCCGTCATTTTAGGTAAAAGGACTTTTACCTACGAACATCAAGCGTGGGTATAGCCCATGTCCATTCCAAAATCATGTACGCGCATGATAAATGAAAACTAATGTTACCAATCAACTCGTTTCAACCTCACGAGTATCATGGTACCATTATCAATGCCCAATTTTTCCTGCATAAGAAACCCCTAAAAACAGAGAACAAACCCTAGCCATGGCAGTTTTACGTATAGGCAATAAAAATGAAATTGAATATAGTGATTAGCTTGCAAACTCAATAAGGAACAAGAACATGTAATCAAAACGTGCAAATGATGTATAAATTAATAAAAATGAAAACGAATTTCTAAGCTAACCGTGTGACTGCTACAATGCGTTTTAGGGCGTGGGGAAGCTTGCTAATGATTGAAACACGATCCTGAGACGTCCAGCAATTGATTGGTATGGTTAGGATGGCTTGAGATGGCCTGCAACTTGGAATTTGATCTACACTTTTTCTTTGAAAATTTTGCAATTGGTTCTGCCTCTTTCACGATTTTTCCACACCTTCTTTTGGTCTGCCTTTTTTCACTATCTATAATAGAGTGCATTAGGGTTAAAGTTTGTATCAAATCTTTGCCATTTATGAAGATTGATCAATGATTTATTCCTTGCACCAAATCTTTCCAAATCAAGCATTTTCAATCTTTTTCTGTCCATATGAAGCCTTGCACGATTTGATCTTGTCTCCAGTTGTATAATGTGAAAAAATATTAAAAGTGGCAGCGCTGGGGCTTGAACCTACGCCTTGAGCATAAAGCGCGTGTTGCCTTACCACTGGGGTGGCTATACATCCGTTAACTTGAATGAAATAATAAATACATAACATAAGTCATGTCCTGAATATGACTTCATCTTCAACCTCCAGCCTGAACATCTGCAACTTCATCATTTCTCATCCATTTGCAAAAATGTAAACATCAAACTTGTTCCAAATTTCACAACGATTCCAGAAATGTAAATTACTAAAACTATAGATCAAAGATAAGCATGAATTTTGAATGGTACCAAATTCTGACCTAACTTTTTCAGAAAGTTCAAACTTAAAATTCTCACTACTCAAGTAATATAAATGAAATCTATGGACATGTACAGCTTCAAGGCAATAATATCTACATTTTATCTTTACAAATCAGAATTAAATGATGCTTGTATGAAGAGATAGAAGTTTGAAAATTTACCTCTTGCAGCTGGAGTCGTGTATGGAGTTTGAGCAACCTTTGAGATGGCCTGATGATTTCTGTATCTTACTTGGACTTCCTTGAATGTATTCCAACTCCTACTTTGCTTTGAGGATGGCTGAAACTCTCAACTCAAGTCAAGTTGCAAGCTTCAGTTTTGAAAATGGTGCACAGTGATGGAGAAGTTACAATCTTGAAACAGGGACTTGGATCACTTGTGTATGATGTATGTAAGATGTTTGGATGATTAAGAAACAAAATTCACGAGTGGAAACGGAGATGGGGAGTTTTGGCTCAAAACTGTCAAGATTGGGCAGTTCTGTGCAGCAAGGGTGCTTGGGAGAGTTTTAGGATGCTTGAAATCGTGTCTTGGCTTGCAAAAGACTTGTGCATATTTATGGAAAAGGTTTGAGATCAAATGCACTCAAGATTTATGAGTTCTAGCCTTTTGGCTCTATAGCTTGCTTTTGAAGAAAAGTGAGAAGACAAATCTCAAAGTGTTGTACAAGCATGATCTGAGTTGATAGAGGCCTTAGACATATTGCTTTTAGTTTATAGGGGTTGTGTGTGCAGAAAGAACAAGTGCAAGGCTCAAGAAGTTGACAATTGCAAAAGTGATGCTTTATCAAAATAGAAATGACAACTTTGTGCCATAAATGGAAAATCATTTTGGACAAAGCTTAAACAAATTGGATAAGGACCTAAAAAGTTGTGTAAACCATTAATTACAGAGTGGAAAACAAATTTCAGGCATGTAAAGTGAATATTATGCAGCATGGCTATGGATTTGGTTTATGTTCGTCACACAATATGCCTTGTAAATCAAGTTGGAAACCCTAACTTATGGCCTTCGATTCTCTTAGCTCAAATATGATCTCAATGAGTTCTTGGAGATTTTGGAAATCTTGTAACATACTCAACAACCTATATGTTGGACATTTTTGAAAAATAAATTTGGAACTATGTGAAAAATTGCCATGAAGTTAGGTCAAAATCCTGCCTAAACTAGGGTAAAATTTCACTAACTTTCCAAGTTTCATGAACATGTCTTCTTAAACACATAACTTGAAATCTAAGCATTTATAGAAAAAGTTATGTTATAAAATGTTTTAGATCTCATTGAGATCTACAACTTTAATGTTGGAAGTTTCCTTTGAATCATCTTGCATCATGGTGTAAATTTGGCTCAAAGTTATGAAAAATATGAATTTTCCAACACTTAGAAAAAATTCTAAGTTTAGAAATGTTGACTTTTCAAAGTGAAATCTTGACTTTTTGATTTCTCGATGAACAAGTTTCATATTTTGACATGTCTTGATGAATTGTGATCTTTGGAACTTGATTTTGATCAAAAAGTCAAAGTTTCACTTTTTAGTGTACAATTGACTTTTCATTAGTTGACTAAAATCCAACTATCAATCAATTGATCTTGAGGAATGTTTTGAGCCCCGCCATTAGGTCAAAATTATGCATTTGAATCCTTGATATCATGTCTTAAACCAATAAGTCATTTGCTTGATCAAAAAATCAGAAATTGCACTTTCTTAGTCAAAACCCTAATTTTGACCATTTTGCCCTTTTGATGATCTAATCAAATTTATTGAGGAATTATGATCCAAACTTGATCAAATGACATATATGAGTTCATGATGTTGATATTGATCAAAATTTATGAAGTTTGACTGTAAATTGACCATAATTGACTTTTCCCCTAATATAGTTGATTTTAGGTCAACTGATCAATTGACTGAGCAAAAATGTGATCCAAGACTTGAAACTTGACATGAGAAATCTTAAGAGTCCAAAATGATCCATGAAAGTCATATCGGGCATTAAAAGTCCATTTTTCCTTGTGCAACTCAAACCCTAATTTTCAGTTATCAGTGCTTGAAGAGGTGTCTTGAGCTGATCAAACCTTGTATAGTCTTGAATCAATGGAGATCTTGTGAGGGATTTCTTGAGAAATGAGAGGGCATATTTTGGGGTATAACACATCTCAAGTGTTGTCTTCACATTTGTGAGTCCAAAGCAATTGTTTCCATGAAAAATAAACCTTCTCATTCTGCCAGGCTTTTACCTTCTTCAATGCTTGCATGCATTATATTATCCAAATCACTTTTTTCCCACCAGCATCATTGCCACCTTTGTATCATAATGAGCTGCATCACAATTATCAAACACATGAAAACAATACTTCAACTTTCTAGCTATAAACAAACATTAATTATATAATCAAACATATTAAAATTACCACTTGCATCTGCAATTACTATCATAACATCATGATAACAACAATTACAACTGAAATATAAATGTAGTTTTTATAGGTCTTCACAACATCAGGGAAACACCAATTACAACTCCAATATAAGTATAGTTTTATAAGTCTCCACAACATTGCGACAACACATAATATATATAAGAAATTAAATTGAAAATGACAGATCCAAAACGAAAACCATAACATAACAGTAATTAAAGATACTGACTCCTAAGTTCATCGAGTCATCTACCGACACTATCAAAGGTAGCTCTCTGATTAATATCGTAGACAACGGGAGCACCGAAGACGCCTCTGTAGTACGCCAAAGTAATAAGACAGAACGGTTCTTGACTGGCGGTATCCTAAATTTGACCCTTAACTTCGCATGTATTAAGCCTTAAGCTCAGGCTACTCATGAAAACTAAAACTACTAAAAACTAAGTCAAACACATTGACTACACCTAAAATTCAGACACATAAAATTGATCAAAATCACAAAATTTAATAAAAGGAGTACTAAACATGAATGATTCCACTTAAGAATCTAGCTTATAAGGAAGACTTGCAATTTTATGTGAAATCATGTTAACGTGAGCGAGAATCATGGAGAGGGATTTTGTTGAATTTGTTGAAGAGGAGTTTGTTAGAGTTAACCGTGTCGTCTTCATTGAAATCGAAGACTTGTAGATCTGTTCATGGAAAAATGTTCATCGTCCCCAGTAAATAAGGGTTTTTTAAATTTGGCTTTCTTCATCAGCGCGTTCACGTTGATTGTCGTTGGAGCCGAAGAAGAAATTTACTGCTATGGAGGGAGTTACTGATATGCATGGAGTACGTCGCGGAATCGGTGGTTGTGTGGCCGGAATGGTTGACGGAGGGACTGGTCGTGATGGAGGGTTATGTGTATGGAGCAGATGTAAAGATAGAGGGTTATGCATGTGGAGGGAGTAGCAGCTGTAAAGGAGAGAAGGATATAAAAGGGTTTGTGAAAGTTACAGATACTAAGGTTTTTGTGAAAATGAAAGGAAAAATGGTTTCACATCAGTTGAGTAGTGGCCCGATGTAAAGGCCAACATTTCACATCGAGTTCAAATCCATGCCCAATATGAAATCTGTTATTAGGGGTGGCAAAACGGGTTGGACCCGCCGGGTTGGTCCGTTTGACCTGTTATTTTTGGCGGGCTAGACTGAGGTTTTCGGATCGGTACCTTAAGTTGGCCCGCCCCACCTAACCCGCTTAAAGAAGAAGGCCGAGGCTGTGCGGGTTTTTCCCGCGGGCCTTTGGTTTAAAATTTTACTCTTTTTATTAAGAATTAAAACAACTTTAACTATAAAAACAACACTTATCTCTTAGGATTATATTATAAATTATTATACAAACAAATTGAATTATAATTGTAATGTTCTTTCTATAACTTTCTAATACACGCGTTGATTGAAAATGATTGAAATAAAAGAATAAATGTATGACATGTATAATTATTAAGTTTTTAATATATCAGGTCAGATGTTTTTTTTAGAAATAGATGTTGATTTTAAGAAAGGGAAGAATTTGATTAGTGTATACGTGTGATAAATTTAGGATTTAACTATTAAAGAATCGATCAATATAAGAGTCTATATAATGTAAACAATGAGAAAGTTTGGTATTGATATTTTATGTATTACTATTTTATGCATTGTGGTGTTTTATGCAATGTTATTGTTATCAATGTTGTCTTTTTGTAAATTCTAAATTGGACTCTTTTAGTAGTTAGTTTTTAAATATGATTAGGATGATATGTATTGTTTATTTATTTTGATATTTTTTATTGTTCTTGAGTTTATTCTGTTTTTTGTTGTAATTGGTCTTTATTTATTAATTTTTTTGAATTGTTTGGACTTAAGACATCTTGAAGTTCTATTATGCATTGTTAAAAAATTTCTTTATCGACCTATTTGATAATAATTAAAAAATTTCTAAATTATGTATTAAATCAAATTGCAAAATTAAAAAATTAAAAAAATTAAAAATTGGCGGGCCGGCCTTCCAACTCGTTAGTAAACAGAGCAGACTTGAATTTTGAGCTCGGACCCCTACGTTGGCTCGCCCCGTCCTGCTCCACTTTTGGACGGGCTTAAACGGGGGGAGCCTAAATGGGGAGGGCCACCCGCTTTTCCACTCCTATCTGTTATAATAAACCTTCATTATAATTTTGAAACTTCCACTGCCTAATTTTTTCCTTAAGTGTACTTTTTACATTGGTGCAAATCTAGGCCCGATGTGAAATCTCTTATAATAAAATTTTATTTTACTTACCAAATTGCCACCATATTATTTTTCACATCAGTGGAAATAAATATCTGATGTAAAATCATTTGACAAATATTTTTCACATCATATATCTTGAAACCTGATGTACAATCTTTTAACCAAATGTCTTATTTTTAGTAGTGTTAAAAAGAAAATCTTTAGCATAGATAAAATTTATTATGTTTAATAAAAAGAAAAAATATAAACAAATTATATTTAACATCTGATATAGTTTTTCCTACAAAATTCTTCAAAATAGAATTCTTAGTAGAGAAAAGTTGTTCAGTCATCAGATTATTTTTTACCCACAAAACATCACTTATTCTTTACATCTAGGTGTTCTTTAGACGACATTCTATATTTTTGTTATTTGTGAGGTGATGTCTATTTTGTTTTATTTAGTTATCTTATAAAGTTTTAGAGGTTATTAAAGCCTTAAGGGGTATTCATAGACCTAGATCTTGTTAGATTATGAGTTGGTATGTTGTTGTTTGGTCTATAAAAAAAATTCAAAACTGTTATATTTTTTCAAGAAAGTCAATAAAAAAGGAGAAATTTGTGGAACCTTGTTTTCCAGGTAATATTTTTTTTTATGATGACAACTACAAAGTAAAATACTAAGAATACTTCCATCATGATAAGAGTACTACAAAAGATAAGTCAAAGAGCACTTAAGCGGTTAAAGATGCAAACTATGAATGTAAAGGTTTGATGAACTTAACTACTCCAAGAAGAAGGAAAACCAAGAGAAATTATCTAAAGCCTCAAGAGATCTCAAACAATGTCAACACAGAAGATGATATCTAACAAAAGCTTGTAGAAGGAGTTAAACTCCTAATTTAGTAAGTGAGTGATCTTTTGTAAAATCAAAGGGCTTGTTAGATCTATGATTTTAGGATTGGCATCAATTTTGCTAAAACATGATTCTTAACTGATGTTGAGCAAGATGTCACAACATCTTGACCAGCTGTCATGACAATTTCTACTATCATGTGTTTCAGACATATGTTGAACCATACGTCTTGACATCTAGGCCTACTGTACAGCAGGTGCTGTATCATTTTTCCTTGAAGATTTGATTGAAAAATATGAGATTTTGAATAATTTTAGTTCTCATATAGACGCAGCTAATCAAGGATACTTTAGTAACATTGCAGATTTAATTTAGTTTCATAAAAAGCATCTTTGAGACTTTTTAAGAAACTTTAAAGATTTGTTCCTATTTTTGTGTGAAGATCTTGCAGCTGCTTTAAAAAGTAGAAGACTAGTTTTGATTGAAGAGTCCAAGCCCATACTGCAGGAGTCTATAAATAAGAACTTGCAAAACCTAAAATAGAAAGCATTCACAACAAGAAAAACCGTGGGTGCAATATAAGGATTTTGGGTTTTTGGATTCTTTTAAAGTCTTTGTGTTTTATTTGTATGTTACTCATGTATCTTCTAATACATTGAGGTAGACTATTTGTTCTTAGTTGAAACTTTTATACAAACTAAGTATTATTCTCACTCATGAGCTTTGAAGAAAAGAGTTGAGTATTGTATTTAAAGTGTAATCTTCTATTGGTTCTTTGGTTCTAATCAATGGTTTGTGACTGTATTTATCACTGAGGTGATTGTGGGAAGTGAGAGAGGGTTCTCATATCTAGGAGGTTTCTAGGTAGAAATTACATAGGGTAGTGATTAGTTGATAAGTTGTAAACTGGGATTGTTTAGGCTTTAAACTAATACTATTATAATGGATTTCCTTCCTGGCTTAGTAGCCCGCAGAATAGGTGACGTTGCGCCGAACTGGGTTAACAATTGATTGTGTCTTTTACCTTCTGCAATTTAAATGCTGCATAATTTCTATTTTGGTAAATGTGTTTTCTATCAGCAGATGCTGTCATAACATCTGTCTTGACATTGTGTTTTGGTGTTGGGACATCAGTCTTAACATCTATTTTTAAAGTGCCAGAATTTTAATTCGCATCAAAGTAGGCATCTTGTTCTATTTATTGGGTCCAGGGAGAATATTTTTCTGTTACTAGATTCTGAGGAAATATTGTCAGACACCATTGTGTTACTTGGAAGTCAATTCAATAGAGTTTTGAGGAGATTGGAAAGGAAGGAAAGATCAAATGTCAAGAACATCTCATCTAACATCAACAATAACTACGAGTTCTAGAATAAACTCAAAATTGGAGAAATGTATGATAAAATTAAAGGGGTTTAGTGCCATGATTGTGAAGGATTTTGGCACATTATAATAGAATGTCCTACTTATCTCAAGAGACAACCTAAGGGTCCGACTATTTCTTGGCCAAATGATGAATCTGCTGAGGAAGAACCTGCTAATATTATGACTTCCTTAACAAGAAGATGGGATTATAAGGTAGACTTCAGAAGTGAAGAGATATCTCATGATGAATTGACCACCTCTTACAAATAGCTATGCAACAAAAGTGAGGAAGTCTCTCAAATATGAGAAAAACAAAGAATGATCATAGCTAAACTCCAGACTGAGTAGGAAGAATACCTAGCTGATAATTCTGAACTCTAAAATAAAATAACCTTGTAAACATCAAAATTTGATAATTTGATCAAAAGTGTGAGGATGTGGAACAATGGATTTGATGTGCTGGATGATATCCTTCAAGAGGTAGAAGGATGTAAAAGACATATTAGAATTGGGTTTAGCTATCAATTCTTGAACAATAAAAAGAAAACCCTTGAGATAACATTTGTCCCTGCTAAAATGCAGAATGAGAGCAAGATGTCTGACCAGATGTCATAACATCCTATCAGGTAATAGGAAAATCAGACCAGAGTCAAGTTCCGACCTTAGAGATTTCAGTATTATGGAAGAAATGGTCACTCAGAGCAAGTCTGACATAGGCTTTATGGATATCCTAAAAATTCAAATTCTTTACTGACCAAGACTAGAAAGGAATGGAAAGTGAGAGATAATGTCAAAAATATGATTGCTCATACCTCTCTTAAAGTCTTATCTAATGAAGATTGATATTTTTACAGTGGATAACTTATTGGAAGATCTTAAACCTCACACTACTACTATGTTACTTTTGGAGATGGTGCCAAGGGAGTTTTTAAAGGTGTTGAGAACTTATTAGAAGATCTTAAACCTCACTCTACTAGCCATGTTACTTTTTGAGATGGTGTCAAAGGAGTTATCAAAGGTGTTGAAAGACTAGCTTATAAAGGATCTCCTAAGCTTGATAGAGTCCTGTTTATGAAAGGTCTGACTGCAACCTGATAAGTATTAGTCATCTATGTGATCAAGGTTTTGATGGGACCTATACAAGTTGAAAGCGTTGGTGAAAAAGGTATGTTTATGCTGTTGTCGATGATTTTCAAGATTCACTTAGGTGAATTCCAGCAAGGAAAAATCATAAGTTTTTTGATGTCTTCAAGGAGTTGTGTCAAAAGCTTTAAAGAGAGAAAGAGAGTAACATTGTTAGGATCAGAAGTGATCATGGTAGGGAGTTTGAAAACATCAAGTTTGCTGAATTTTGTTCCTCTGAAGGTATTAGTCATGAATTTTCCTCACCTATTACTCCTCAATAGAATAGGGTTGTGTAAAGGAAAAATAGAACTCTACAAGAATCAACAAGAGTCATGCTTCATGCAAATAAGTTGCCATATCAT